ACTTTCCTATAGCAGTTGACTTTAAAGGAGTGCAGCTTTATCTGTAAACAAAATAAAGGCGAAATTAAGCGGGGATTTTAAGCATCTGTTTGTTTAGGATCTCAAAGAGTTTAAAAACAAGGTCATCCTACAAAAATGTGGATAAACAAAATCAAATTAGTGACTAAACCAGTTTAGGTGAAATGTTAAATTAACTCACTGTAACTGTTGTGGAGCGTCCTCGCTGTCATTGTCATCAATAGGAGCTGAGGCGGATCTGAGACGGACATAGGCAGGTCGTTGGATATGGGAGGTCTCAAGGTAGGCAGACATCTCATGCATCATCTCAGGATCTGGTGAGGAATCTACAACCTCAGCTGATGTGAACTCTAGCGGAGGTTCTGCATTCTGAACCCTGCAACACGGGCTGGAGGAAATTCCACAGTCGCCCAACAGCTCTAGGCAAGGTAACACAAATATATCCAGACCGTGCAAATGTAAAGGAAAATGCTATCTATCCGAAGCTACTTTCCCATCTCTGATTACTGGCTCCAATCAGTATTCGTTCAGGTAAGGCTAAAATTTGTTGGTCATATGTAGACTGGTCTATTTAGCATTGCGGACAAGGCTGATAACGACCTCATGCATCTTTGATATGCTTCTCAAGAACAACGGAAGACACAAAGCCCCATCAACTCCATTCTCATGCTAAGTGTTCCTGGAATAAGACATACGGTTGACGGCAATGTTTCAAAAAGGTCCAAACAAATAACACTTAGTGAAACGCTCAATTGTAGCGGGTCCGTTGTTAGTGCAAATTCTCAGCAGGCATTCTAAGGAGCAATCAGCACTCAGAACGACCGTCTGATCCTCGACAGCTAATGGATGTAAGGAGGGAGATTTCGCCTCAACAGCGATGAATAGGATCGCTACCTAGCACATATAACACCGAAAATTTGGCACACGTTGAGTAGTAGGGTGGAGAAGTGGTCTAAGATGACTTGACTGCATTAATGCTCCCTTAAAAGTCAGAAAAATTATTCGAATTTATGAAACGCAGAGTGGGATAATATGGGAGCAGGTGAAGACTGCCAGAAAATTAAAGGAACTGGGGTGCTGTAGCACAGACCACAACAGTACCATTTTTGGTCCCCTGTCAGCGTCTATCTGTTTTCTTGCCGGGCACCCTCCAATTAACAAAGTAGGGGAGAACTAAGCTGGACAGGACGGCAGACGGTTCGAGTGAATGCAGTTTTGAGTGTGTTATACGAGTTCAAACAAAGGACGGGGGTTGAGAGGTGGGAACACGATGACGCCCCATATCACGTGACCCTTAAGATATTGTCACAAGAGCAATTATACAGTAGTCTGTCTGGGAGGCAATCATGAGACTGCTCCTTGCAAAGGTGCACAGAAGGTGACGTTTTCACCGGTAGATGTAAGCTTTGGCCAATGCAAACAGCATCATGGTGGTAATGTAATTTCTTCACGAATAATCCCCATTATCAGACGGGCTCAACTGCAGGAGATGCGGAGGAGTCAAGAGGGGAGAGGTTTCGCCGAAGATGGAGCCACATAGCGGAATGGCATCCACCTTAATGTCTTAGTCAAGCAATATGAATTTCATCTTACATCTCATTTCAGCAAAAATCATCACCAATCAATTGTCAGCTTTTGCTGATTTCTGAACAGAATAACCAGCGAGAACTTTACCAGAAAGAATCAGACAACGTTTGAATTCGGGAAAATTATCAAGTTAGGGTCGAGCGAATTCATTGGTTAGAAGGGTGGTGTTAACCATTATTAACCAATCGCAATTCCCTTAGCCTCGGCATCAGTAAAAATGCTGTTTCTCCACCAATCGGATTGCAAGGCATTCATTCAATGCAATTCGAATCGATGCACACTTCAGTCACACAATAAAATGCCTGGGACGCGTGATAATACTGCCTTTTAAAAGGAGCTCGAAGGAATGTGGATAGCATCTACAGCAAACAAATTTGTCCCTTCGAAAACGTCATGTATGCCAGGAAGTGGAGAGGTGTGGAACGCATTCAAATATGCTAGATTCAATGAAATTTCCCGCAATTTGGTTGCAGTCTGACTTAATGTGGTTGGGAGAACAACTCACAAGTAAATTCTCAAATTGCTTTACGTTAATTAGGCTCGGATTAGTATCCTAATTATTTTTTTATAACTTGGCTACAACAAATGCATTTTTTAGAGATCTGCTGAACCATTGGCAAAGCGGTTTGCAAATCAATCATCCCACTTCAGGTGCTATTTAAAAGGGCAATAAAATAAATCAAAACCAACCCAGAAGGTAGTCCGAAGTTCGCCAAACACAAGTAACATTCATTCAATTGATCAAAAAATACCAAAAAGAGGGGACAAAAGGAAAGAAGACGTTAGAAATTGCAAAACTTCTTTTGTCGCTGGTCTCGGGTTATCAGCTGATTTCGGCGTATCGATTTTTTTTTCTTCAA